ATTACCAAGTTTAGCTGGTAAAATAACTGAGCTTTTAATAAACATCCTATACTTTGTGTATGAGGGGAGAGCACTGGATGTCGTATACTTCAGTGGCAGCAAGGCTTTCAGCACTGTCTCCCACAATATTCTTGCATCCAGGTCAGGGTATTGTGGTCTGGATGACTGGACAGCTAGATGGGTCAGAGTCTAGCTGGATGATTCGGCTGGGTGTGTAGGCCAACAGGAGCCTTATGAAATTCAGCAAGGACAAATCTGGAGTCCTGTACCTGTGAAGGGGTAACCCTTGCAGCAGTACAGGCTGGGGGCTAACTGAGTGGCTTGGATCAGCTCTGCAGGAAGGAACGTGAGAATCTTGGCAGGCAGCAAGAAAAGCACACGCCATCACTGCTCCCTGGCAGCGAAGGGCCAAAACCATCTGGGGCTGTATTGTCAGGAGCATAGCTGGTCATCTGACGAAAGTGATTGCCCCTGTCTACTCAGCACTTGTTAGACCACATCTGGAGCACTGTGCCTATTTTGGGCCTCCCTAATACAGGAAGGATATTGGCCAGCTGGAGCAAGTTGAGCTGGGGGTTACAGAGGTGGTTGGGCTGGAGTGCAGGCCCTGTCAGCAGTGGCTGAGGGGCCCTGCTTTGAGAAGGAGGTTGGACTAGAGATCTACTGACATCCCTTCCAACCTGAATGATCCTGTGATTCTGGTAAAAGTCATTACTAAGATGTTTAGTTTTTATACCCATGTGTCAATTTAAAATAAAATTATTTTATGTAACAAATAATTCTTTCTCCTTTACCCTAGTTGTTATTATTATCTTAGTAAAAATAAAGAAGACTCTTTGCAAAAAATTACAGTTTTACATACAGTCTATTAAAACATGCAAGTCTTTTATTCATGGTGTGGGACTACATGTAAGAACTAGGTTTCAGTAAGATAATAGCATTAAAAAGGAAGGAAAAAACATTTTCTTTATGCCTAAAGCATCAGAAATTATTAAAATAATGCTGACACAAATCCATTATTGACAACACTTACCTTCAGTCTTAACAGAAATACTGAAAGGTGTCTTTGATTATTTCCACTTTTATATGTAACATACAGTGAAACATGCAGGAGATCACCATTCAAATTTTAAAATCACGTGAAATCTGTTTGAAGTGTGTATGCCCAGTAAAAAGAAAGGATTGTAGAAAAGAGATCCTTATTGGACTGGATGAAAGAGAAGGTCTACAGGTGTGTGGCTATGACTTACTGCATAATATGTCTGAGGCAGATAAAAAGGTTTTGGAGGGAAAGATGCTTCGATTTGGGATGAGTTGCTGAGGTGAAAATAGACAGGACGATATCAGAAGAAGGAGTAGCAGCAGAAGGACATAGGTAGAAGAAACAGTAACTGCTTGATCATACCTTCTTTTCATGGAAGAGAGAGTTTTAGCAGTCCCCTTCTATCAGCAGGGTGTCCTTTAATCTTACGGTGTATTGTGCTATTTTTAGTTAATGGTTGCAATCCTGATAATTATTAAGTGTAATTTTATAAAAATCAGATACGTGAACTTGTCTAAATTGAGTACTGAACTGGCCTTCCTTTCATTTCAGATAGTTCAACATTCTGTTATTGCATGGTGGTTTTTTGTGTTTAATGGTGCTGTGTTTTTTTGCTTATCACTGGAGGTTTATTTTTAACTTCTGAGTATTAAGCTGAAAGTCATGATATATTGCCAGTGGCTTTACTAAGTTACCGTCAGCCATGTAATTAAAAGTAATTTGAAGTGAGATCTGTTTCAATTCAAGCTACTAAACTTCAAGTCATCAATGTTACAGAAGTGAAGTGTGTTTACACGTTGGCACATTTCGACAAATTCAGTAGTCTGCTTTACAGCATGGCCCCACAAAGTTGTTTTATCACAGCTATCAAGAGAACAAGTGACTGGAGCACTGTCGTGGTGCACTGTGTGGCTGCAGCCTTCCACTACAGGCTTAATAGTGATGCTTAAGTAGCAGACTCCATTTTCTAACATGGCAAGATGCACCTGTTCCTTTGTTAATTAAACTTATTTCTCCATCCAGCCTGAAAATCAGGAGTTGGTCATGGGTGAAGATCTAGAGATTAGTTATGAGAAACAAGAGATTCTCTTTTGGATCTGTGCTAAGTTGCTTGCCTCACATTGTAATCTTAGTTATACAGAAAATGAGTGCATCCCAGATGAACAGGTAAGAAGGATATCTTTAGGCTTAAAACTGAAGTTATAACAAAACTCCAGAAACTGAAAGCAGGTGCAAAAATGCTTATTGGTTAAAGCATTTACAACATCAATCAATTTCTAAAAATCAGCCTTAACCAAGTTTCATATTAGAGTAGCTACTTGAGTGACTAAGAAGATGGCACATGTATTTCAGGACCATAATCACAAAGACTACTTAAACTACACAACCGATTTTATCAATTCAAACAGAGGCTGAGAGCCAGAGATCTGCAGAGATTGAATGATCTGCAGGAAGCTTTAGCCTGGAGCACCGAATACCTCTAACTTTCATTTGTTGCATTACTTGTGTTTTTTTCATCTGCAGTAGAATTGACCACAAGTTGCAAACTTTTGATAACAGCAAGTGCCATATTTTGAGTACAGAGTTTGGATATCTTTTTCATTTTTAAGAGAAACCAAACAGTTAAACTTCCCTTTTGTATGATATCTGAATATGACAAGCAGAAGAAAAGATTTGCTTTTATATTCTAAAATTGTGAGAGGCTCTTCATTAGATCTTATTCCTTCATTACATACTTACTCCTGTACAGAAACTCGTAAGTAAGAAGATGCACTGTCCTTTTCAAATATTTAGATCCACCTGTTTACTATTAATTTCATTCTCTGCCATGATCATCCTGTTCCTGGAAGGGTGAAACTCAGCTGGGATGATAGTAGTTGTGCCGTGGTGCATTAGGTTTGATTGCTGTTTGGCTAGAGACACTCATGTAGATGGCTGACTGTGTGTGATTAGAGTGGGTACCAACCTTTGAAGAGACAAATACCAGTTTCTATAAAAATTAAATAAATAGCTTTCACTTCTAATCTTTTTAGCTGTACCTGTGATATGAAGTGCCAAAAGTGGTCAGATTTATTTTTTAATAATTCTTCTATAGACAAACATTTTTAAAAAAATCTTCTAGAATTGAAGTCTCTCCTTTGGCTTGTCTTGTCTTGTTTTAAAATGTTGCCATTTCTCAGAGCAGGACGCAAACTACTTAGCATCTTATCTCAGAAACCTCTGTCTGAAAACTCAGGTTTATAAAAACAATGAAAAAAATGATATGCAATACAAATGTCATTTGTACATGTAACCATTCCCCATTGCAATTGCTTCTTAAATATGCTTTTTTACCATCCTGGTTTTTAACAGCCAAACAAAATTTTGAGTCATTCCCTCTGTTGGCTTTGGAGAAGCACTCACTCAGCCTAGAACTGCTTTCTGCTTACAGAGTCTTTCAGCTTTCAAAAAAGAAACTGAGTACAACGCAAAAAAAAAATTATTTCACATGCATATGTATCTGTGATTCAAAGACATCAGCCTTTAGGCCTCATGGTTTTGGCAAAGAGTGAAACTGAAAAGACCAGTTTCAAGGGGATGGTTATTTTTAAAGTTTCACAGCATCTGATGCTTTTAAGACACTTTAAGCTTTGATTAAAGACATATTTTTACTATCCTGTCTCATAGTGGCGGGTGGGATGTTCCTCTTGCTACATCACTAAATGCCTTTAAAGCAATCTGATTGTATACTCAGAGTTCCAACCTTATTGTAACCCTGTTTAGTACAAGGCTAACTCTGGTCTGAGGAGGCTTATCTCCCTTGACCCCTTGTCTAGTCTATGGCAGAAACAATCCACAGCCTACAACTAACAAAGAATACAGTGATACAATGCAATGATTCAGGTTTGTGTGGTAACGCTGTGTAATGACTTGCTTCTTTACTTGCAGCCACTCGTTCCCACAGTTTGACCAGAACAACTGTGTGCGTGGCTGCTGTCTGTCTGAACCAGCAGAATGCCCAGGTTTAAGTTTCTAAATTCCGTTTTTTATTTCTGTAAAGTGCTGACAATCTTTACATTGAATCAGGCTTGGGAAAAACATTTTACCACTAATAGGCTGGCACTAGTTTAATGAAGTTTTATTTTTAGAGGTTGGGGATGTAAAACAATGTTGGTGGCAGATTTTAAAGGTACCAATGTGAGCTATGTGCTAGAATCTAGTTCAGTTCCCATGTTCCTTGAGCACCTACCCACCATTTGCCTCTCTGAAAATTCTGCAGCTTCCAAACCCACAGCCAGACATCATGCTGCTGGCTCAGGAAGACTGTTCCATAGATTCAGTCGGATCTGTGTACTGTTGAGTACAAAACACAACCTTTTTACAATTACTAGTGTAAGATGTAGCTTTTCTGGAGACTGCCATTAGCAAACAGGGAGCTTTATGTACTTAAGAGCAAAGTAATTAAAGCTTCACTTCTGTTTACTTCTGAAAGTTACATTCTTAGGGTGTTATGTTTATTATTTCCATTTTCTTTCTGTTTTGGCGAGCAATGTGTGAAGTAATCACTAAGCCAATCAAATATTCAATGTAGGGCTGACTTGATGAGGTGAATTGGATACTGCAAGAGGTCAAAGTTTATAGCAGGAGACTGTTCCCCGATCTGGCTGACGGGGTTAAGTGCAGTTTTCTAGCATTTGCAGGCATGGTGACTTCTTGTTAGGGTTAAAGCCTGAACCAAGAACCTTAGTTGTCCAGCTTTTGTTCAGCACTGTGTTAAATAAGATCTCACTTCTCTTCTAGGTGGAATAAAGGTATGCCAAAACAGTGTCGTCATTTATGATCTCAGTTTAGGGAGAAGAAAGAAACTTGTGCTTTTCTACAGTGTAAAATGAATGCATAATAGATATAGTAAGTTTACAGGATTTATTCACATGAAGTTGTATGAGAGTCTCTTAATGTACTTTTTCTTTCTTTGCAGCTATTGGCTGACAAACAAGGTCCACATTAAACGACCCAGCACTGGTCTCCTCATGTATACGCTTGCCACCAGATTTTGCGATGAAATTCACCTGTATGGATTTTGGCCATTCCCAAAGGATTTACATGGAAAACCAGTCAAGTATCATTATTATGATGATCTGAAGTATCGGTACTTTTCTAATGCCAGTCCTCATAGGATGCCATTAGAGTTTAAAACATTGTATGTATTACATAACAAAGGAGCACTTAAATTAACAACAGGGAAATGCGTACAGCAATAAAGCACATGTAAAGTACAATAAGAAGTACAGAATATACACTTCATCATAAAGATGTTGTGGAATGGCAATGGGATCCCAGTGAGGATATGTTTCAATACCCACTAAGCCATCGGAAAAAGGAATTTTATCAGAAGTACATAACCAGCTATTATACCTGTAAAGTGCTATATAACTAAGCTATCTTGACTGCAAGGGTTCCAGTAAGTGCCACTTTCACTAAGAACAAAGCTTGAATGTATACTCAGTAGTGTTTACAGGATCCAGTGATGCATTCATCATGAATTAAAGAAGAAAAATATGGCCTGCTTACTGCTGACTTGCCACTGTGATCAGACAGCCCACAGAAGAAATCCCCAGTGGATGGAATATCTTCTTGAGCAAATAAACCAAGCTTTGGCAGAAATCATGATGCAATCAAGTAGAGAAAGTGAAGTCCATAAGATCAAACAAATTAGTAAATGCCTTCAGTCAGAGGACTGTTTCTGATCTTGTATTATAACCTCAGCTTTTGTTGCTGTTTTTCTTATTGCTGTTGGTTGGGTTTTGTTGCTTTTGAGTATTGGAGCCCGTAAAGGATTTTGAGGATATTATGAATAATTAAAAGCATATATCTTAAGGAATTGTCTTAGGAAAAAAATTCATAAGGGTGGGAGGGTGGGGGGAAACATCAAATATTTTATGAATTTTTATTGTGTTGTATCCTGCTATCACAACCCTTAATGTCCCAATTGTTTTTCTAGCTACTGCTGTCAATATCCACTACATGGAACCACTCATAGGTCATTCTGATCCGTTTTTAAAGAGAAGTTCTTCTGTTGTGTTAAGATTTGAAGACATATGAAAAGGTGCCCTTATTTTTGGTACCAAAGATTACTCTTATACACAATTTTTCTTTTCCTTGAAAAAATGGTGTAGATTTAGTATGATGTTTCTTTGCTGCTGAAGGGAACATACTCTTTATGTTATTTAAATTTTTGAATTAAACATCTCAAAGCAAAGCCTCGTTACTGGCTTTGCATATAGAATTGAATTCTTCAGATCTGCAGGAGTAAAGAAATTAATTCATACATTCAAATATGTATGTATACAATTTTTATTCCTGATTGAAAGTAAAACACAAAGTCTAAAGGAACTCAGGTGACATTGGAACATGTCCAAAGAAAAAAAAACTAGCTAATTAAATGGAAAATAAAAGAACTGCAGATCAAACAGTTCTGTTAAAACTTAAATTTCTAATGGATGATATCTCTCTCTAATATACCTCTCTTGTATCAGCGTGGTGTTCTGATGTGTAATTGACTGAAATAACACAGAGCTGCATTACCTCACAGTGATTTTTCTGAGCATCAGTTTTGTTTATCGATGAAACCAAGAATTCTTTCACACTCCTCTTTCTAAAAAGAGAAAAGAAATTACAGGAGGGTAGGACAGGGTGGAGTGTCAGTACAGCACATACTAAGATACAAAACCTGTCTCCATATGATATATTTTAGTGCTAATGGAGCAGGTAAATGAAGAACACCATGGTTCCACCGTTTTCATGTCAGGCTAGACTAAAGGGGAGGCATGCAGTTACAATATGTGGGTATTTTCTTGTTAAGTTTTCAGCTCTACATTAGGTTCTCATCTCCAAATATGGTATTTGGTGTATCTGTTGAATTTTGAACTAGCTTGAGCAATTTCATGTGTAGCAGAACACTCACAAACATTTACTAGCTAAAAGTGTCATTTATTACCCGTTTTTCCTCTTAAGTTCACATGTATTTCATCATGCATGACTAGAGCTCTGTGATTATGCAAATTTAGTAGCTGAATCACTGCCTTGCAGACAGTTTTGCCAAAAGTTGATGGGAAATAGAAAGTCATTCTGCTATATGTAAGACACAGTAGCATCTTTCCTTATTCACCAGTCTCTCCTACCCAGGACAGTCTACTTTGGCTATATGCTAAGGTATGGGATTTGGTCCTAACATGACCACCACTGAAACCAAGGCATCACAAGAAACTAAACAGCAAATAGAGACAATTTGTTGTTGATAAGCCAGAGGGTGTTATTTGTACACTGTGTAAACTTGCAGTTTCAGACAAGGTTATTTCCTTGATGAAAGGTGGGCATATTCGTGTTCTTCCTGTTAGGATTTTGCTGCTGTTGATCTTTTAAAACATATTTCATATACATTGACAGAATGTCTATTGAGATAAAGAATTCACAGGTGCCAGTCTCACAGAAGCTCAGAGAAGCATCTGTTTAGCTTTATCTTTTCTTCTGGGAGTGTCTTCTCTTCTTCTCTCTAATGTCAGGCCATCAACAAAAAGGGAATTCAAGTAGACTAAAATATTAATTGACAGGTAATTTGTGTCACCTCAGGGAAGGTTTTAATACACCAACTGATTATTTCTCTGAGAGCAAAGTAGACAGAAACACTCTAATTCCTATGGTAGTACAAAAAAAATTACTACTTGTGTAACTGAATAAGTGAAAACAATGAGACATAAACAGGAAGACAGATGAGAAAGTTTGTCTTTGGAAGTCAGCAGATGAAGAAAAATTTGGCCTCAGCCTGTTTTTCAGGCTTCACATTTGATACTCTGCAAGTGAAATTAACTTTAGTACACAAGCCATGGAGTCCAAATTTTTACCCTATCACTGAATCTGATAGAACAGGGTGATACAGGGCAAGGTTTCTCCGACTTGGTTTGGCTCAAGACATGACAGTAGCACCAGCTTCCAATACAACAGAATTTGCCCATACCTTCTCAAAACTTGGCCTTAACCTCACCTTATGCAGGCTTTCCACCTTCAATACTGCACGCTTCTGGCACCATGAGCCATGGTCTCATGGCTCCCTACCGTCATCCACACTCATCCTTCTCATAGCACCCTCCCCTCAAACTGGCACCCAGGTGTGTCTCCCTGCCAAAAGCATAGGACTCCTCACAAACCCATCTCCTGTTTCACCTGCCTCAGCTTTATCCTGAGCTGAAGTGTTAATGTAGTGAGTGGTAGATCTCAACCCATCCTATGAGGCAAGTAGCAGTTATAGTCTTTGACCATGCAGGTTTTCACAAGCACTAGGAGGCATTTTACTCTATTGCTCTTGTATAAAATCTGTGTCCATGTGGAGCTCAAAGCTTCTGGGGCTCCATGGTGTGTGGTTTGTTGCGCTGCAAATTATCTGGTTTGAGGTGGTTTGTGGCCACCAGTTACTGGTTACTCTAGAGTGACCTGAGGTGGCACATGCCCAGAGCATTTTCTCTTAGGGTACGTGCCCTTGGTTGTTAGCGTTCTCACTGCTGGGAAGCTGTAGCAGTGGACTCCTTGCAGACACCCTTTCTTACCTTCCCCTTATACCTCCTGGCTCTGTATTGCCCTGGGGCTCTTTCTGCATTTCTATTGAGGCACGATAGGTCATGAATGAAAAAACAGATTACTTCCACTGTGTGACTCTTTATCCCTATAAGTGTCCTGGGGCATAGCCCCAAAGGCTTAACTGCTGTATAGGGACTTTACAGTGGAATAAATTTCACCTTGTGGTCCTTCACTGGGCAGCAGTCAACAGCTCAAGCCTCCATAGCTGCCTTGGATAATTTTTGTTGCTTATATACATTCACACCTCTTGTGCTGCCTACAGGAGCAGATATTATAATTACCACTTTTATCGTCCAACACTAGCAACAACTAATACGAAGTAAATAGGATAAAAAGAAGAAGGATCCCTAATACTGCAATGATATCTGCCCTGGTGAGGAACAACTGAAGAATGCCCATCAGTTGAGTGTTCCTCAAATGTGTCCTCACATCAGTCATATCAATTGCCAGCTGCGGTTCCTAAATGTATGTTGAAAATAAGAACTGGGAGCTACATCAAGACAGCAGACAGTGTATATTTTTGTGAATCTTATGGCAGCTTGACATTGAACAACTTGATTTAATTCAGATAAATTTATTGTATATTGTTTATTAACATACATGTTAATGTTTCTGTGGCAGAGAGTTTTTCATATTTCATAAAAATAATAGATAAATATATTTGATTTTTAAGTTTTCAGCTTTGGAAAAGTTCTGTCTCCCACAGCTCTGAGCCACTCTCCAGATAGATCTACTGAACATTTCAAACCGTGGCTTGTTTACACAATCTGATGTGTAATAAAGACTGTACCATTCCTTTGTTAAACAACATAATCAACATGTGCTTGAGGTCAGTACCTTTTCTCTAATTGACTGCAATTTGAAGAAAAATAGATGTGGGTTCAGTACCTTTTTTAGTGTTTGATCTAGCAAAGTGCTGAGCACTCTTTACAGTGACTTTCCTGGGAGATGTCCAGGATTTAGATGGGGATCTAGAGTAGCATATTTCAGGATATAACTCTGAAATTGCACATTATTTATTTTTAAGAGCACTGTTACTTTGTGACAGTTTCTGTGGTTTAAAATATTGATATGTATTCTGTCAGGATTGTCATGTTTGACACTGTTAATATTATTTCAGGTACAGCTATGGGGATTGTTTTTTATTGGTATAACTGTAAAATAAAGAAGTTTTTTTTCTGCTATATTCTGTTCCATATTCCTTTGTAACACAGTTGTGATAATATTTTTCAATTATGTGCTAATTGTAAGGATATGTGGGAGGAGAGTGTCTGCTCCTTTAAGGTGTCTGGTCAAGGACTTTCTCAACACAAAAGGGGATATTAAGAAAAGGAGGAAGCCATAAACAAGAACACAGAGAGACACGAACCTGACCGACAAATTATAAGGGAGGCAGCGATGAGAAGCAAACCTGATCAGTCGCACTAACTGGTAAGGGTATGTGGAGTGTAGGAATGTTTATTCCAGTAAGGTTATCTGACCGAGGACCTTGTCAAATGGGATCCTAAGGAAAAGGGGGGAGCAGTAAAATATATGGAGACACAAACCTGACAGGCAAATCATAATGGAGACAAAGAAAAGAAGCCAACCTCATCAGTCACACTGACTGAACAGCTATCAAGAAACTGCA